ATGAGCGTACTTAATCAAGGGTTTCACATTTCCTTGTCAAAAGTTACCTGTGCTAATTGTTCAGTTTTTTGGCTATTTATACGTTGCAACTTCTTTTTTTAAACATCAGTACTGAACAATACACATTTAATTACAAAACCCCTCAAACTAAAAAAAAAAAAAAAAAAGGAAAAAAAAAAGGAAACTGGATCCTATATCCTAAGCCACATTGCTTGGCTGAGAGCCTAAACCCTATTACATATTTCAGCCCGTTGAGGTGTTTCAGATCCCAATTCACTCTCCGTGATATTAGATCCAAGTATTTGCTTCTGATGAATTTGGCAGGAAAATTAACCCAGCGACCTGTCAAAGATTTCTTATTTTTAAATATTTACTTTCTCTTAACAGCTCAGTTCCTGCTCAGATATTTCAATTAGCAGCCATTATAACCTCTCCTTTGACGCTGGAAGGTCATTTGTTTCCTTCCCAACCACATTGTGCTTTCCTTATCAGGTTTGCCTCAACAGTTTTCTCCATTTTATCCTCCTTTTCTCTGAAACAAACCAGATGAGCAAGGTGCTCTGTGTCGCTCGTGAAGCCTTCGTGACAGTTCCTCCTTTGCTTGCCTTGAGAATCTGTGAATTAAGAGTTTTCTGTCCAATTTTCTTGGTCCTGTTTTTAATTATAGCTGATCAGTATAGAAATTGTGAAATTTGGTTTCGTCTGCATGCAGGATGGAAGTGCCGACATGTCCCTTTCTCAGGAAATGAACCATTTCCTTTATATCATTTCTCAATTAAATGGCTACAACGTTGTGAAATCAGCATTTCCCAACAGGACAGTATAAGCCAATTCTAGTTTTAAGTAAGCTTGGGCTTTTCAAGCACATTCTTGAGGTTCGTGTAGTATCTGGGCAAGAGCTTCAAAATTCAGCCTCGAGCTAGTCTCGAGCTTAAAAGGGAAAAGTACAAAAGGGGTCAACTAATGTCTCAACAGTGTTTCGTCTCAGTATGGATTGTAGCGGGTCTTGTCATGTGTTGCCGTTCAGCCAAGGTTTTAGGCCCTGCAGTTCCCTGAGCACGTTTGACCAGAGCAGCTGCAGCTTCTGCTGTTTTCCTTTGGCAAGTGCCAACAGCTGAATTTTGTCATACAGCCACTTGGACTTAATTACTGCTTAGATTAGAGCAGCCAAACTGGATACCCACTTCAGCAAGGTTTTGCCTCCAGTTTTCCCTCATCTTTCCCCCCCATGTTGCATTCTAATCTCCTAGAAAGGGAATTTCCTAGAATTAGAGAAAAAGTGGGTCACGTCTGTAATTGTGACTGGGTTTCTACCAGAATGCTGTAGTCAACTGTTCCTGCTCGGCTTTCGTGCTGAGCACCAAGTACTCCCTGGTCTTACACAAGTAAGTGGGAATTGAGGGGATTCAGCACCTAACCAAGTCAGGTCCTATTTTTCTTCAGGCCTGTCCAAGCTGGTGGATTTAGGAGCCGACATGGTGAATTAACATAGGTAATTAGAGGCGGCATCTTGGTGCTGCGTTCGTATCCGTGCTTCTTGGCTTGTGGGAAGCGATGTCTGAATCTGGGCACCAATACCACCGTGGTATGCATGGCTCTGTGATGACGTGTGCTAGACAGCTGAAGGAGACCGCCAAAGATCTGCTGTTCAAGGTATAATACCATGTTTTCCCTTTTGTTCATCCACTATTATATAAAAACTTCTCGGTTAAATTCCTTCCTTACTCTTAATTTCCTCATACATTGGGGACCTCTGCCTAATATTCTGGGCTTCAGTGTCTGGCGCAAAGGGATTTGATAATAGGATGCAGACCTGTTCAAGTCTCTGTTACTGGTTTAAGTCCATCCTAGGTTAATGGACTCAGTCCAGTTCCTATTGGGCAGTTTGCTCATGTTACCTAAGACCTCATTGCTCTGGGGGTGGTTGGGTTTAACAAATGACACCTGGAGCAGGTTATATAGCAGGTACAGACATTTCAGCCATGGTTATCTAGCAGGGAAGAGGTGCAGGGTATTGCCACTACCTGTGCTGTTTATTGTACAGGCACAAACTGGGCTGTCAAAGCAAGTGCTGAATTCACTTACAGCAAAACACTAGGCTCTCTCTTAGAGACTCAAACGGAGAAATAAGTCCATCCAAGCTTGCACGCTCACTGCCATTCACCCGTTATGGTCACAATATACAGCAAGCGTAAGAAACCGATTTTTGCCCACCATGCTTACCCTTCATTGGGAGCCTTAAAAGATATCTACTGAGCCATTAGGAAATGTAAACTTTGTCAGGCACAGAAGCCAGAAAACCTGATGAAACCAAGGTAATTTTCAAACTATCAAAATGTCATGCTCTTCTCCCGAATGTGTGCATGAGAAAGGGGAAGGAGCGAGGCAGCAGACAGACTGAAGACACAAAAGCGATGGGTGACGGACGCAGCATTTGCCTGACTAGCAAAGCCTGCAGCCTTTAAAGTGCTCAGAAACAAAAGAGACTGTCCTGGAAACAGGTTGGTAGCTAGAAAGAGAGAAATCTTGCTCATTTTATGCATGTTTATAGCCCTTTGAGACTGGTGGCTTTTTGAAACGGGTAAGTCTGCTCCCATGAGTATCACAAGCTGAGAGACACAGACGCTTTTCACTCCACTGTTAGTTGGCTAGATTTAGTAATCCTTCTGCTAGAGGCTGCACCCCAAATCCTTAACAATTCGTGAAGATAGTACATGGTGCAAGGACAGGAGACGCAATGCAGACGCCAATGGGTGGGTGAAGCGCTGGCATTCAGGGATGCAGAAACCACTTTTATCTGATCTACAGTCTGTTTAGCAGCCTAGAGAAGAGTATTCATGGGTAACAATGGAAGGAAAACAGTTTTTAAACACCAAATTACCATCGTATTAGCTGGAGAATTCACTGTAGAGATCAGGCATATGCACAAGGCTTGTTAGCTCTTCTCTGTGCTTCGCACTGTTTCTGGATAAGTAAGACGCAGGCTACAGCCAAACAGTGAAAGAAAGTATGTTAGAGCACCAGGATACATTCAGTGCTTAATTTTTTGACAATTACTTCTCTCTTCCCTCACCTCCGTCAAGAGTTATCGCCACAGAATTTGCTTAATGGGGTTTATATGATGTTATGTGTATCATCGCTTAGTATTGAAATGATTAGCTGTGATTAATCTGGCTCATGCTGGGAAACTGTGTGAGTGTTTCTTTTTTCCTGAGGGTATGTCTCAGTTTGTGTTATATTTGTATAATGCAAGTTGACAAGAACTACAGCAGAGAGAAAATGGAACGAGAAGTTTGGATTAAATGTATTTTTATTATATCAGGATGATAAAGGGATTAATTGCGGATGGGAGGCTGGATACTGGCAGCCATCGGAGCTAGAAGACTTGACATTTGCTGTGAATGTAGACTATGAATTGAGGGCATCCCGTGCTAGTATTTTCCAGCTTTTTCCCCCCTCCCAAACTAGCCAGCTATCACATGCTTCCACTTTTGGAGGAAGTTCTTATACAAATATTTACCTTGTTATCTTGTGTAAATTCTATGTTGTCTTATGGATTTCTGTACATCTCACTGCGGGTTATTACGTGTCAGGTCTTTGCACAGTCATTCTGGCAGGTACTTTGTTGTTTAAAAAAAAAAAAAGAACAAAAACACAAAAAGCCACTATTGACTTGTTTCTGTTGACTTAGTTTCAGACTAAGGACTTCGCTGTTTGGACTTCCAGGCTTTGGAAGTAACTTTGTGATGTTTGGAATTTTTTGTCAGCATAATGCTCATGCACTAGTATTGTACATATCCAAAAGAAAATCCCACCAATAAACATTGTTCTCTTTTTTTTAACGAAAAGTCTACTTTTGTGGTTTTTCCCTGGTCATTTGTTTTGTCTTGGCGCACTCCAGCAAGGGGCTATTTTGATTCTCTGTGAGTCAAGTTTTTAAGCCCAGTAAAGGCTTAATTTGGTTCCTCTTGTTTTACGTTTGATTCTGGTCTGGGAGACTAAATAATAAATGCCTTGCCCTTTAAAAACAATTGTTCATTTGCTGGCTTTGTCTTCCTTGGTGGTACTGGTATATTGTAGCCTACAAAACTGCAATGAGCAGGATATATCAGATGGAAACGATTGAGAGACAGGAACAACAGTGGCCATCTGTCCCTGGTCTGTCTCTCTCTCTCTCATACACAGACAATATCAGGCCAGTAAAAAGCACAATTTTGTATTTTGACTCAAGAAGAGCAGAAGCAAGAAAACTGTCTTCCAAGATAAAGAGCTCTGAAACAGGCTAATAGCTGTCAGTCCAAAACTAAAACCAAAGAGAAGAAACTACTCTAAAATAGAGAAAAGGAAGGTGGAAATTCAGATATTTAGGACACTTGAAGCACATGTTCTTGATGCAGTTACAGAGGTTTCTGGGAAGCAGTAACGTTATTGCAACGCTCATCCATTTTCAAACTTCACAGCAATTTAACAACATGTGGTAAGTCTCTAAGTTCATTGCCCAGCTTAAGCACTGAAGCACAACAGCTGTCACTTCTTACCATTGTTGAATTTGCAGCCAGGAGGGACCACTCAATTCTCTGGTATGACCTCCTGTACATCCAAGGTCCTTAAATTTCCCAGCTCCCCTTGAACTGAGCCCATCAGAGAGACAACCAGCCTTGATCTGGAGATGATGGAAAATCTGCCGCTCCCCTTGGTGGTCTGCGGCACTGGTTCATTACCCTCATGGTTGGAAAGGTGCAACTTAGCTCTCAGGAGAATTCACTGGGGTCATTGAGTCTTGCTATGTTTCTCTCCCGAAGAATGCAGATCCTATAACACTTGCTTGGTCGGTTCTCTCCATTGCACAACATAATCCAGTCACTTCTCAAACTCTTTTTTGAGAAGCTGACCAGATTGAGCGCTAAAGTTACCTCTACACCAGCGTGGCAGTGTGTCCTAGCTGGGACAGGACACACCTCACGGACCCACTCTTGTTCCTTGTGTCCCAAAGCCAGAAAAAGCAGCGACAAGACTGTTCTGGGGTTATCCCCAGCTTCCTTCCTCACGTGGCTCTCTGGGGCAATGTCAAAGGACACCACAGAATAGGTGTCCATGACAGCATATTGGTGGGTTTGGAAAGTGTGAGCAGGAGCAGGTAGCTGGGCGGTGGTGGGGATACCTGGGCCAATGCACACTGTTGGCACAGTGTAGGGCTCCTAATTCAAAGTTTTCTCCAGGCCTCAAGTAACTTTTGTGGTTCTTTCCTGCATCTTCTTCAAGTTACCCACGTCCTTTTAAAAATACAGATGCCAGAACTACACATTGGATTCACCGGTGCTATGGCAATATCACGGCTCATCTCTTACCCAGCCAACAACGGCCATAGCCCTTCCCATTAGTCCACAGAGTTTTGTTCGACCCTTTGGACCTTACAGATCACACACGGGATGTTCAATTGAGAGCAAGCTAGTAATTAAAGCTCAGTCATTCCTGGGCAAAGATGGAAAGCTTGGCACTGCCAGGTAGGCAAAAGAATAGAGGGGGAAATGACAGAAGACTATTCCAACTTGGAAAGGGGGCCTTTTTCATTCTTTTCTATGGATACTTGGCTTCCTGTCATTCTGTTAAACTGGTTAGGGATTCTTTTTAGATGCCTTTGATATAGCTTTGCAGCTGCACACCCTCCCTCAATGCGGACAGACGGAAATAATGCACACACTCCTACAATCTTCCTTTTAGAAGATGCTTTTCAACGACCCCTACAGAATGCCCAACCCAAGCTGCCAACTAGGTAACGGTTGGCTCTTACCTAGTTTCTGTGTTTGGCAAGGCAAGCCTTTCTGCATTACAGACAGTTTCATGTCTGGTTCTGTTTTGCATTCAGTGAGATGAGTGCTATTTCCTGAAGCAATCTTTGGTGAAAATAAATGCAATTATTTTGGCAATATGCATGCTGACTTGGACCCGAATACAAAGTACAGCCCTCCCCAGCATGGCCATGAATTGTGAACTAAATTACACAGCAGCAGCCGGGAATAAAGCAGAAAAGGGGGGAAACTGTTAATCTACTCTTATTGCACAGAGCTTCTTTTTTGAAAGGACACTACAGGATCTGTTGCTTTGAGGCAGGAAGCATAATTCAAAAAAAAAAACAAAAAACCAACCCTTTAATAAAATGTATTTATGCTTTGCTTTGTACCATTACCAAATAAAGGCCAGTAGTCAATGGCCTTTCATGTAACTGGCATACAATCTTCTGAACAGCTATTATCAAAAAATACCATAAGTGAGGTTGAGTAACCAGAAGGTATTTATTCACAGGTTTGCAAGTATAGCACTTTACTGTTGCTTTCAGAAGGGAATTAAAAAAGATGCTAAAGTGTTTGAGATGAAAAACTATGCCACAGCGTGAGAAGAAGGGAACACCGTCTCCAAGTCAATGCTAGCGTCATGTTGTGTGCTTGGTTGTAAATATATCAGTAGCCTCATTTCACTCTGATATTGACTCATTCGGTGGGTGCTGGGATTAGCCAAGCACCATAAATAAGACCCTGTTTGCCTCTGTCTCCTGAAATGATCTGCATAGATATCCTGTCTGATTTCTATGTGCTTTAACTATTGAAAAATGCAGTGTCTTAAGCTTTTACTATTAATAAAAAATTAGATGCCCTAAGTATTCATTTTGGGTTACTAGGAATAGATTTTGCCATAACCTTTTATCATGAAGATAATGAACCTTTATTAATTTCAAAAGAACTGAAGGCAGAAGTCTCCTATCAGATCCATCCAGTGAATCCTGAGACCAATATGCAGATCTTACCTGCATGGAAACCCCATAGATTGCTATGAGCCTGTGGGGAGAACAGCAATTTGGAGCTGACACTCACTGCCATCTCCAAAAGCCTTTATCATTTAAAAAGGATGTTGCTTTCTTAAATCTACAGGATCAAGTTCTCTCATTTAACCATCTGGAGTGGGATTCAGGAGTACAGACTTGTCCCACAGCCTTCCTCCAGTACAGAATTAGACCGGAGTTTTAGAATGAGTCTCGTCAGTAGTACAAAATGGAAAAATATACGCAGCAATGAACTGGAAGGCTTTTTCTCTAATACAGATAATACCATTTTCATGTAACAGCACTTTGGCACTAGCATAAATTACATTGCTGTATTTTTAGGTATCTAATTATACAATGAAAAGACTTTCTCAGCGCATCTTCCCTTTTGCCTTCAAATGCCATCAGTTGTTAGGCGCCCTGTGGGCATCCAAAGCATCCAGGTGCTAGTAAATGGAGCCTGATCTTCCAGGTATACCTCTGGAAACAGAAACAGTTGTCCTGTCCTGCCAATGTATCTGACGGGTGATTAGGAAAATGGTAAATGATCTGTGTTGTAGTCTCCTGGATGATATTTTACTTTGACATCAAAAAGCTTCATCTCTATGAAAATGATTATATATATATATATAGTGTGTGTGTGTATGCTTACATATATACTTCTATAGTATATGCATATATAGTATATAGAATGTGTGTCTATTTGTGTGTATACTTTTATATATATGTAAGTATACATATGTGTGTGTGTGTGTGTGTGTGTGTGTGTGTGTGTGTGTACACACACACACAGAGTACAAAACAGAGTGTGTACGTGTGTGTGTATATAGATGTATCTAAGCATGCATGCATGTATACACACACACGCACACACTGTTTTTGTGTGTGTGCGTGTGTATACATATAGTGTTTATAGTGTTGTCCCCAGTATGTATTTGTTTTCTGGCACATTAAGTATTGTTTCGCAATTGCCTTCCAAAGTGAGTATATATTTGCATATTTATATAACATAATTATATTGCTCCAATATTGACTATAAATAAGACGCTTCTGTGCTTGAAACATGTCAATGGGTTCATTAAAATGCTGCTAACTACAGGAGAGGGTTAGAGCTGGGGCAGCATTTATCTGCTGTAGAACCTCAAACTTTTACGCTTCCTTTTTTGTGATGACAGACCACCTATATTTGACAATAACCTTATATTTGACATCCCATGATATTAAGCTCACTTGACTTCATGTCTTAAGGTCAAAAGCGTTAATCAGAGCTTCTATCATTAGCTCAGTTTCCTTTTCTATTAAGAGATTATGATCACTTACTATTAATGAGTCGTGAAGTTTTAATAAATTTTTGCTAGTGTGAAATTGCTAAACAGTAATTATAGCACATACTGTATGGATGGTTTGCTCCACAATGCATGTTCTGCCTAAAGTTGGTTAAAAAAAATAAACTACAAAAGAACAGAAAATAATTAACTAGTTACAGCTGTGGATTTGAAGGAGCTTTTTCCAACGTATTTATAGTCAATAAAAAGACAAAGCAGGTCATTTTTTTCCGGTGTTGCTAGAATTGTTGCATCTCTGGACCTTGTGACTTATGCAATTTTTTATCTGAAATGGTACCTACCATGACTGCTTACTAATGAGGAGATGGAAGACAATATCACAGCTATCGTTTTAACTTGGGTAATATTTCTATTGTTTTGGCAATGGAACAACAAGGTTATAAAACATGAGTCAGGACCTTTCAGCTAATATACAAGAGAAATAACACAGCAAGTCTCATTGCCAGAAAAGTAATGTCTGAATACTGGCTTGGATTTTCCTTAGTTAGGCCATTATTCATGGACACAGCTAAACAGCCAATGCCAGACAATATGCGGCAGCCTGGCTAAGGCTTTTATTGGTTAACTGACTTTTTAGCATTCAACAACTGGACCTCCTGAAGAGGTGGAACATAATGTAACTTCTAGCAGGAAAATTGTTAAAAGGTAAGCCAGGGTACCCAAAATATCAGAAGGGAAAATTAAAGAAATGCGATGGCAGTGGGAACAGTTTCTCATTGTACCTTTTCCTGCCAGTTTAATGACAATCAGTGCTTTGTTTGATGAGAAGACTGCATCTGATTACTCCCAGCATGGAAGTACTCCCTGCTACACAGAATCCAAATGGTTTTGAGTCCCCAACTTGAGTAAGAGA